AAGACTCAAGAACCAGCTCTTCTCTTTGTGGTGCAGTGCAGTGACTGCACAGATCTGCTCAGGAGGTGGCAGTGCTTTAGAGAAGGTTCCTGACCTTCCTAGAGAAGGTTCCTAACCTTGCTTCCCAGGGCACAAGTGAAACACATCCTCAAGTCATATGGCAGAGCTTTTTTTCTTTTTTTTTTTTTTAATTTTCCCAATAGGCCTATTTTGGGAAAATGGGCTAAAGAGTCCTAGATTAGCTTTAGTATTTTGGACACCAGTCCTACTTTTGTGCGTGCACCCAGATGAATTTATCTTTAAGTTTGGATACAAATGCAGTACCTGGAGCTTTAAAAGCACTGGGTAAATAACAGCCTGTCTGAACAGCTCCCAGGAATAAAGGACTTGGAGCTGGCAAAGGAAGGCTGCTGTCTGGAATCTGGAGCCAGACACATTCAGAGTAGAAATCAAGTACAAATTTGTAATGGAGAGGGTGATTAATCACCAGGATGAACTAGAGCTGGCTGGATGGATCATTGGTCTCTTGCTGATTTTGAGGCAGGATGTCCTCTGGACAGAAGTTAAGCCAGGTGATTGTTTTACTTCAGTGTAAGAGAAGCCCATGGAATCCAGAATCATTTAGATTGGAAAAGACCTCCAAGATCATCCAGCTGGAATGAGTCCAACCTGTGGGTGATCCCCACCAGAGCACTGAGTGCCACATCCAGTCATTTCTTGGACACCTCCAGGGTTGGGGACACCACCACCACCCTGGGCAGCCCCTTCCAGTGCCTGACCACCCTTTCCATGAAGGAATTCCTCGTGATGTCCAGCCTGAACCTCCCCTGGCACGTGTTTATAGACACACGTGTCCACACACATGAACACCCCTGCACAGAGCCCACCCAGAGGACCTGGCAGTTCCTACAGACCTTGAGCTGCACGTGCAGTAGAAGACTTGAACTTTGAATCATTTTTTTTTGCCATTTCTAGGAGAGGATTGGTTTGTAGTTCTGCGTGAGTCGGGAATCTGGCCTTTACTTCGAGTTCAGCAGTGGTAGAACTTCATTCTTTGGGCTTAATTTCTTGGCCATCCAACACATCAGGTTTGTCAGCAAGGCTGGAACTTGGGGGCTCTGCATTTCTGGTATGACAATTGTAGTGGTGGGCCCATGTCCTCAGGCAGATTCCGTGTTCAGCCACTGATCCTGCCCTGTGTGGCTTTAAGCCAAGAATTCAGCCCCTCTGTTCATGTTTTCCTTATGTCAAAATGATGATGTTTGTCTTCCCCAAGGACAAAAGCTTAAGAACTTACCAAGGAAGGTATTAGTGAAATACAAAGTGATGGCTTTTTTTTCTTTTTTTTCTTTTTTTTTTTGACTAGGTGAGTCACTCAGAAATTAAAAGAGAAAATGAATTTCTCTTCCAAATAAGTGATATCAGCCTCATCTTTACCAAGTGACTTTCTCCTTGCTTCTGCAGGGCGTTGTGGATCAGGGTGAACTCTACTTCAAAACATTTAATTGCACACAGTGAGAAATGAAGAAAACTGAAGTGGATCCCAAGAATGTATTAAAAAAATCAGAACTAAAATGAGAATGATTTCATGTCAAGTGAGACAAATGCAGAGTTGATACTCCAGTGCTTCACACTTCCACTTGTCCTTGGCACTGAGAAAATGAGATTTTTAATATCTGAAAAACAGATTGCCATGAGGACTCATCCATTGTCAATTTAAGCTGCCTTTATAGCAAACTTAAGCTGGGGACAAGATTGTTCATTACATCTGATTCTACAACTTGCAGCCACGATTTCCATATTAATAGTGCCTTTTTTTATTATTCTTATTGTCTGTACCAGCCACGGGAAAGGGGAGCTGGTTGTGTTTTCCCTGGGTTAGCAGATCATTTATTTAATGAATAATGTGAAGAGGGCAAAGGTTTGTGAGCTCTTACCTGCCTGTCACTACAGACAGTGGTGACACCTGCCTTTGCTGCTGTCTCAGGGCGGGTTTGGTGCTTTGGTTTGTGCTAAAAGGGAAAGAGGGATGTTGAGTCGTGGTTTCAGGGTCGTGATTTGTTGGCGACTGAAGTGATGTTGGTTGGGATGGAATTTTTTTGACTAAAATTACAGGTGAGGAGTTGATTGTTTCCTGTCTGAGGTGCCCCTAAATGACAAAAACATTTCAGCTTCAGACTTGATGCGTGTCTGGGGGTGGGGAAGGTGTTTCTGTGCCCCTGAACTTTGGACCAACGTGGAATCAAGGACTGTTTGTGCCCCTTTTCAGCAGCAGCCACTCCGTGCTGGCAGCAGCCTTAGGGAGCACCAGCTTCCTCCCCTTTCTCTGGAACTCCATTTGCTGTCAGAGCTGAGGATTCCCTGTCCTTCCTTGGTGCTTGGCTCAGTCTGGGACAGTTTGGGGTTGCATTCTGAGTGTAATAAAAACCAACTCAGCCTTTAACATAGCAAAAATGTTCTTTTTCCTATTTTCCCATGAACTCCCTGCTGAAATCCCACCGTCCTCTGTCTGCACTCACAGATCTGGAGTCTCTTGGAAAAGCTCCTCTTCCTCCGCTGTTCACATCCCAAATCTGGTCTAGATCCTAATGGCTCTGCACTTACATTTGAGGTCCATACCATTTTTTTTCCTCTTCCATTACTATTACTAATATCACCCTCCTGCCTTTGTCATCTCAAAAACTGAGTTACTGCAGCCTTTTCTTTGCCTCTGTTATCTCATCTCCTCATGTTCCAGTTTTAATCCTGCGTTTCATGATGATGGAAAGTGATCTTTCCTTTCTGGGTTTCCTTCTTTGCTTCTTCCACACTCCTCACCCTGGAAGCAAACCCTTCTGTGACGAATCCAGTTCTCTATCATTAGCCTCTCTGACCTTCAGAAAGTTTGTATATATTTAAGTCTAATTTGTTCCTCTTTGGAAAACAAACCAGCTCTCTGTATTAAAATTTGGCAAGAAGTCAACAGCATGATCTCATATTTTTTTTGTGACTGCCTCGGGGAACACGTTTAAAATGCAGTTAAGAGATATAACAGGGGAGGGGTTTGGTGTAGAAGTCTTTCTAAAAGGTTTGGGGTGGGTGACTTTGAGGGACCTGGGGGTTTGTCCCTCCCATCCATCAGTGGTTTGGTGCCACCGTTTCACTCCCAGGCCACAGGACATGACCTGTCACGGTCTGCCAGGACCGCTCTTCGTGTCTGTGACCTCTCTCTGGGTGACCTCCTTTCCTGGAGAGGAAGAGGCAGCTCCATGTGGGCCAAATGACTTGTTTTGGAAGTGGCAGCAGCCAACTCTGAGCAGCTCCCCTCCCTGGGAACACCCAGCTTTCCTTGGCCGCGTCTGGGTGGGAGAAGGCACGTGTGGACAGGCTGGAACCTCCCAGGAAAGCTGGTGGCCAAAGCCGAGTGCTGCTGCCCCTGGGAATGCTCAGCCAGCCCAGCCTTTTGTCCTGAGAGTTCAGGAGTTTTTTCATGAGGGGAAAAGAAAGGAAAAACAATAAACCACAGGAACGATGGTGTCACCATCCTTGGAGGGGTTTAAAAGCCGTGTGGATGTAGCACTTGGGGACATGGGTTAGTGGTGGCCTTGGCAGTGATGGGGGGTGATTGGGCTCGATCTCAAGGGAGGTGATTCTCCTCCTCTGCTCTGCTTTTTTGAGACCCCACCTGCAGAGCTGCCTCCAGCTCTGGGGCCCTCAGCACAGGAAGGACATGGAGCTGCTGGAGTGGGTCCAGAGGAGGTCACCGGTGCTCCAAGGGCTGGAGCTCCTCTGCTCTGGAGCCAGGCTGGGAGAGATGGGGGGTTCACCTGGAGAAGAGAAGGCTCCAGGGAGACCTTAAAGCCCCTTCCAGTGCCTAAGGGGGCTCCAGAAGAGCTGCAGAGGGACCTGGGACAAGGGATGGAGGATTAGGACACAGGGAATGGCTTCCCACTGCCAGAGGGCAGGCTTAGATGGGATATTGGGAAGAAATTGTTGGCTGTGAGGGTGGGGAGGCCCTGGCACAGGTTGCCCAGAGAAGCTGTGGCAGCCCCTGGATCCCTGGAAGTGTCCAAGGCCAGGTTGGACTGGGTTTGGATCAACCTGAGCTAGTGGGAGGTGTCTCTGCCTCTGGCAGGGGGTTGGAACAAAATGATCTTTAAGGATCCTTCCAACCCAAACCATTCTGAGATTCCGTGATCTTAGGGGGCTTTTCCAACCTAAACAATTCTGTGGTTCTGTGGTCTGTGTATGCCCAGTGAACTCCATCTGGGATAGGTGCAGTTCTTCCCGAAGCCTCCAGCAGATGTGATAAAAGAAGAGTCATTCTGTAGTATCTGGACCACCTTTAACCACTTGGAAGAGGCAAGATGTGTCCATCCATGATTGCTGCTCCTGGATAGCAATCCATGATTGCTAATATTGGACATCTCTTTTTGGAGCAGAGGAAATCATCCCGTTGCAAATCCATGTGCTGCTCTATCCACTTGTTTTCTCTCCTACCTCACCCGTAGCCTGAAGTGTAAATATTGCCCCTAGTTCTTTCTACATATCCCTGGATAGAACATCCTGCCTTTTCTCTTTCCCTTTGGTTAAAAGTTTGACTTTTGGAGCACTTTCAGTCCATGTTAGTTTGTGGAGAAAAACATGAGCAGTAATAGCTAAAGAAAACTCTATTAGGTCATTCCTCCTCAGAACACAGTACCTGTCTCTGAGCTCTCTGAGGATGTTGGCCAAATAATCCTTTTAATAGCTTTTGTGAGTTAAAAGGGTAGGTAACTGTCATAAGGCTAAATGATTGCATAGATTAATTTACTTGTGGCTGAAAGAAATCAATTGTAATTTAAATTTTTGTCTCTGGATTGATGACACCACCAGACTTTCTCCTGAGGAATGTACCACATGCACTGAAGTCCGTGAGCCTCTGTGGGTCTGGATTAGTGACAGGTTATCCAGAATAATGGGATTGAGTCTCTTTGCCTTTCACAGACATCTCTAATTTGTCTTTTCCTTGTGTCTTACAGAATGGTGAATAACACTGAAGACCCTCAAGAGGCTTTATAACGTCCCATCCCCATGTAAAGTATGCTCAGAACTTTTCCAGTAGTGTAAGTACAAGCTGAAGAAGCCCAGAACAATTAAGATCATTTGATGGCATTTTTTTCTGTTAATTTGTCTAAAAAGAGCAGAGAAATGGTTACAATGATTATGAGCAGTTGGCTGGAGAGTTCCACTCCTTTGGTGGAACATTTAAACCAGGGAATAGTAAAATAACCAGACATTTAAATCAGGGAATAGTAACTTTTAATTGCTCACTTGGTCTGGCTGATGTATTGTTTCTATTTCTACTTTTCTGTCTCTGAAAGAGAAAGAAAACCATGCAGTTCTTTGAAACTTGGCCTTGATCAGAGAAAAATTATTCTTAAAAGAGAGATCTTCATACATCTGCTGAACATACTGGAGAGATACTAAAGGGATACCTGAGCTGGGCAAGAGTTTAGCACCACTCCAAACTTGCCAAAGGGATGAGAACACCATCATAATTCAGTGTAATATGGCAAAGGCAGAAAACCTGGGGCACCTCACCTCACCTTAGAATTGGATGGGCTATTCCAAGCACTGTCTTGAATCCAGGTGGAATTGAAGTTGTCCAAATCTCATCCTTGAAGCCTGTCAATTTTTTTTCTTTTTTTTAAGTGGCTTCTGTCATAAATCTTCAATGTAATTGGTCTCCATGTTGTTTCTTCAGTAAATGGATTCAATTGTTGAAGCTGAAAGGCTGAAAGGAAAGGCTTGACCTGTCCCTGTGCTGTCCCTCAGCTCCCACTGGCCAGTCCTGGTTCGCTGTTCCCAGTATCCCTCTTGTTGGCACGACCAAATGCTTGTCCCCAGCAGTCAGATTCCTGAGATACTTTGACCTCTTGACTTTGGATTGTTCCTTCTGTCAGACTGAGCTGGGAGGAGAAGCCAGGTCTGCAGAATAGGTGGGAAGGAACTGGGCTGCTGTGAATGCAGCCAGATTTTCCCAGATGGATTATTTCAAGGATGAAGATTTATCCTTGTTATAGTGCAAGTGGCAGTGCAGTCACAGGCTTCTGTAGAGGGAGCCACAGCAAAAATAAGGCTGCCAGGGAATTTTTGTTGGAAACCAAACTCCAATGAATTTCAAAAAGACTTCTTGATACAGCCCTTAATTAGTTATTTTCTGTTGCTGGTGGCTTTAGTCTTCTATTCAAAACTAGTGGTTTCCTGCTTTGTTGCCAGTCCCTTGAGCTGGAAATGTGTTGGATTTCAGTATTAAAATCACCACTTGAAATTGTAGAGATCTAGTTCACAGCAGGAGAGGAGTCAGGAGGTAAGGCCACATTGCCCTGTGCATCTTCATTGTTCTGGTAATCCAGAGTTTGCTGAGGGATCTCAGATCACTTTGTGTGAGCACAGGGACAGTCTGACAGCTTTGGCTTTGTGTCAGGCTTTCACCATAAATTTCCAAAGTGGGAATTGCATGGTGTGAGTTTGCTGTGCTTTGATTTCAGTCCCGTTCTGCCCCTGTGCAGTTTTCTGCCCTGTTCATCAACTGCCACCTCCCAGCAGAGCAGCAGCAGCAGCAGCTTTTATTTATTCCAGTGTATGTGCAGTTAATAGGCTGCAGTGGAAGTAGAGGTGAACAATTTTTTACTGAGGGGAAACCAGGATGAACCTATTTGGAGGGAATTAAAGAATATTAAATTCGAGCAAATGGGCCAAGATGACCCATTAAGGTGTAAAATTTCCAGATTAGACCATAGATATCTTTAAAAAAAGGGTAAGTGGGATTGAGAAGGGGAAAGAAGAAAATGGAGCCTTAAAAAAAAAAATTAAATTTTGAACTTAAATTCTGAATAAGGTAAAGATTGAACAGTTAAAACTACTGGTAAGGGAGGAGTTGGGTTATCCCTACACACAGAACAGCCAAGTAGGAACCTGGCTGCAGTTACCATTTCTCCTGCCTAATTTTTGTCCTCATCTGGATGGGAGTCAGTACTTGAGAGGAGTTTGGGGCATGATGTGAGCACAGAACTCTTGATTTTGGTCTCACAAGAATTTGTCATTTATCTGAAACTAAGCCCTGTAGCCAACGCAAGTTTCTCTCTCTTGGGTTCTCCATAAATATAATGGGAGTAATTATTTGTGCTTCATGGGCTCGTGGCAGTACTGATTAATTAATATGTGTTAGGAGTGAGCTATGACCATCAGGATGTTTTGCATCCCTCAAAATATGAGTTCTGAGGGAACCAGGCAGTCACAACGTCGTCACCTGAAGTTTACCTGAATTATCAGGCTGGTGCTTGTGAATCTTAATTGCCAGCAATGACAGGGCTGTCTGGGGAGTGAATAAAAGCCTTCAGAGTGGGAAGAGAATCAGGGTGAGTAATGCAGATGGAAAAGGACTGGGTTGAAGCCTTGTCATCATTTAGGGAAAACAACAGAAGGAGAAAAACCGAGGATGTGGATGCTCCCAAGTCAGCACACGCTGAAGGGCAGGCACTGGAGTTACAGTGGCTTAGAAAATAAAATCACAGGTTGAGCTGTAACTGTCCAGTGCCCTTGAAATGTGGCACAAACCACGTTAATTAAACTTGGGAGAAAGAGGACTCAGCTCATTTTCTCTTTTTGTCTTGCTTGAAAAGGTATCCTGTAAATAGTTGGTGGCTGTAGGAATATTCAGTTGGCTTTTTAAGCTTCCTTGGCTGAAACAATGCCCTGCCTGAGCCTGTGGTTTTACTTTAGGATAAGCCAGATGAGTTATTTCATGATTTCACAGCCACTCTGAAAGGGTCCTTAAAAAAAAAAAAAAATCTTATTGAATGGAAAAATTTCTTCCCCAAAATTTCTTCCAGTGATGGATTCCCCTCCCTGGAGGGATTTAAAAGCCCTGTGGATGTGGTGATTGGGGAGGTGGGTTAGTGGTGGCCATGGCAGTGTAGGAGGTAGATGGGTCTTCTCTATATCATGCAAGAGGAAATTTCCCTAGTTCAGGTCTGGACTACACAAAAAATTGTTGCTTTAAGAGCATTAATTGGGACATTTGTTTCTTTCTGAAACGCTTTTAACTAAAATAAAACTCTAATATGGAGGCAGCTGTGGCCAAAAGCCCATGTTTTTGCCATTATGATTTATATTCTTCAAGGAGACACCGTTACCTATTCCTGAGTTGTTCTCCAAGTGGAGTCTCTGTCCTCATTAAGGCTGTGCCAGTGAAACTACACTTGCAAACTGTTTTTCTAGTGGAAAATTATTTGCTTTGTAGTTAAGCACAAAGTCAGGAGTAGGTGAGGTTCAGCTGTTTGCTGGGCTTCCATTTTAGTTTTCTGAAACAACAAATTTCTCTTTTAAGGAGGTGTTTTGGTTGTTCCTGCTGGGGATGGATCCTGAGGGAGAATGAAGGGGCCTGAAATACTTCAGGATATCTCTTTTCCTTCCTGTGTGGAAGAGGTGGTGGAAATCCTGGTGATGGCCTTGCTTGAAACTTGTCCTACACCTTGTCATGTCTGGTGCTGTAGATGGACCCTGTAGGAGGGCTTTGAAAAAACACTCAGAGTTTGGCCAGGCACTGGCTCTGCCTTCTTGCAGAATTCCTGTGTAACTTTGAGCAAGTCATTTGGACTTGTCTGAAGTCCAGCCCCTCTCTGGGAGCTCTTGGTCACAAAAATTAGTGTAGTTTTACTTCTCTGCCTCACAGGGATCTTCTGCAGAAAGATGTGTTTTAAGTATTTAGGTACTCCAGCTGGCAGAGTTAATGGAGAAGAGTTTGGAGATGCTGTCTGGATTTTAATAAAGGATTGGTCAAGTTTTGAAGTGAAATGGAGGAGGCAGAACACAGCACTAGGCCTGTGATCTTGACAGCTGAAAATATGTGACATCAAACAGTCCTGGGATGGTTTGGGTGGGAAGGGACCTTAAAGCTCATCTCATTCCATCCCCTTGCACTAGACCAGGTTGCTCTAAAACTCATCCAGCCTGGCCTGGAACACTTCCAGGAGTGGGGCCAGTCTGGTGTTTAGGTCAGGCCCACATTTCGGTTTTATTGTCCTTGACTCTTTGTGTTTTTTCACGTGGGTTAAAGGCAGTATTTCAGTATGTTGATGAGATTTGCTGTAATTCAAGCACACAAGTCCTGCCCTGATTCTGTTACAGAGCTGATATATCCAAAGTTTAGTCTTTGGCTCCCGAATCCAAGAGCTCCTCCTTGCTCTTGGCACAGGTTTGGGCTTTGGGCCCTGGTTCAGCACTCAGCTGCCACCACAGCTTTTCTCTCTGTTTGTTAGTCCTTCTGATCCCTCAATCTGCCCTTGAATCCAGCCTCAGAGTTTGAATTCCTGCCTTGTTGCTTTAGAATTGCAACAATAGCAGGAAACCCAGATTTTGGAAGTGGGGAAGGTTAGGGTTAGACAGATAAGGTGTCAGTGTGAATCAGTCTGTGCCTCGAGTAGAATTCAGAAGTGTCTGGCTGCAAGCCCTGTGCTTAGTCAGAGGTCAGTCCCTTTTGTAAGACTTGGATTATGATGATAATTGGCATTTATATTGTATTTTTGCCTTGTAAGATCAATCTCAAGTTCTCTCTCTCTTTCCCAAAGATGTAGAGCAGAGTGAGTTACTCACCCGAGCGGAATCAGTGGCAAAACTGCTGGGGTTTGCTCACTGTCAGTAAAAAAACCTTATCAGCAGAGAATTTCAGAGACTGGGGTGGGGAAGAACAGCTTGTGTAGAAGTGGTGACTGTGGGTTTGGGGCTCTTTAACCGGCTGAGGATCTCAGAGCCTCCTGAAGGAATGATATGTTGATATTCCGCTCCCAGCTCTGCCTCCCCTAATTTGTGGAGCGGGGAGTGTTTGATTACGCCGGATTTATTTTCAGAAGTTTCAGGCTGCTCTTATTAATTGTCCTCCTTCTGCTGGAAAGCGAGTGGCAGAGCTCTGCATTCCCGAGCCGGTGTTTTGCATTCCTAAACAGACCCTGTGACGCTGAACCTCCACGGATCAGCTTGGAGCCTGATTTCCCTCCTCGCTGCAGCACCGGGCTTTCATTTCCCTGGGATGAGAGCAGTCATTACAGGGATTACATTTTGT